AACTTTTTTCTAAGAGGATTGTGTTTCCATGCTCCAACTACCTTTCCCACATTAGCACTTATATGCTTGCCCTCAATATTTGTAAGAAAGCCACTGGCACTTCTCAAAAGACTTTTTTCTTTATCCCAATCTCTCTCTGTAGAAGGTGATCAAAGCTCATCACAAGTACAGCAAGGCACAGCTATAAACCATGTCTTTTGTTGAGCCAGCCAACACAAAGTGATTTCTTGGCATGAATATAATTTAATAAGTCTTTTAAAAAGTCATCTACTCTGCCTGATTTAGCATTTACTGAAAGAGTTTCAGACACTGCATGCATAAGCCTGCAGGGCAACTGGATGAGGTATGGCCATTCAGCCCTGCCTGCTCTGCTCCCAGAGGGGAAGAAGGTGAAGAGGTGACACTCCCCAAAGACTGCAGGCAACTTTGGAGATGCCCTTACTCTGTACTACTTTTAGGGCCCCGAACCCAGCATTATAAAACACACTGCACATTTTAGACTCCAGCATATCAAGCCCAGCCTCCATTCTCAGGTCTGAACAGTAATAAGATCAACAGATCAATCAAAACCCCTAGAAAAATTAGGTTTATTTTATGCCTGCTTCTGGATGTCTGTGCTCACCTACTGGGTCATTTAATAAGTAATGCTAGTATTCACAAACAACTCACCAAGATTTCTTAAAACAATGGATTTACCAACACACCTAGCCAGGCTAGTAAATCAATTGCCATACCCCATCACACCATCAGGCCAAAAGGTCTGGTGTTCTGCCCCCAGCAATAGCCATTTCCTGGAATTTTAAAAGGTGGAGGAGGGGAGAGTCTTAATGACCCCACAGTGCAGTGCCCAGCATAAAGGCGTGGGACTGGAACACTGTGTCTCTAATTCCCAAACCACAGGTTTTTATTGTTTAACATTAGATTTCATACTCCTTATCTTTCTATAACTACGGGCATTTAGAGTTTTTACCAGGCTCCCAGTTGTAAGGAAAAGGCTTTGTACTGAGCTCAGTAACATGTCCCTATTCATTCAGAAAAGGATGATCTGAACTGCCACAAAGCAGATGCTCAGCCTCACCATCCAGTACCCACACATCAGGCTCTATCACAGGCTGAAGCCCACCTTCAGACAAGCAAATCCTAGATTCCTCCCTCTTGCAGTTATACACAGGTAGGACCTACTGCTGACACCACTGGGATGCACCTGCAGCTCCCCACCAGGCCCTATCCATAACCAGCCTCTCACCCCACCAGTACTACACCAGTGCCCACCCCCAACATCTACAAGAATACAACGCCACAAATCCCAGATTCTCGTGAGCAGGTCTACATCCTCCACCTCAAATCTTCCCCTCTTTCTCCACACAGAGCCCTGCACACAGCTCATTCCCAGCTGCTCTAGCTCCACACCTTCCAATCTTTGCATCGCACTCCAATCCCGCCCCTGGCTTCTCCTCCACCGCACACCTCCCCACCAGCTCCCACATCCTCCCCCCACAAGCGCTGCACTCTATCCTGCGCCCACACAGCTCTCACCCCCCAAAAAGCTTCACCCCAGCCCCACCCCGAGCCATACAGCTCTCTCTCCCCCAGCCAACTCTGCAGTTCCAGGCTTATCCTACCCCACAGAGCCCCCTCTGCCCCCAGAGCTATGCCACTGAGCCAAATTCTCCAGCCCAGCCCTACCTGCCCTCTCCCTCACTGTGCTATCCCAAGCCCTACCCCACCTTCCCAAGTGCTTCAGTCCAGCTCCCTCCAGCCCTAGCCCGAAGCCCTTTGCCCCAGCCCTACCTCGACCCCCGGGGCCCGCTTCCACCCCAACCCGACCCGCCGGAGCCGCCCCGCAGCCCTCCCCGTCTGCCCGGGGCGGCCCGACGCCCCCGCCGGGCCCACCTTGTCCATGAGCTTCCAGCACTTCTCCACCATCTTCTTGTCCACAGCGCCGGGCTGGTGCGGGCCGAGGTGGTGGTGGTGCGGCTGGAAAGCGTCCTTCATGAGCCCGATCAGCCCCCCGGGGCCCTTCTTCAGCGGCGCCGACATGAGGGCGGCGCGGGGGCGGGAGGCGGCCGCTAGCGCGCCCACGCCCGGCCCGTCGCCCCCCGTCCAGCACCGGACCGCGGCCCTGCAGGGCAACCGGGCGTGGGGGGGCACTCCCGCGGGGCGGGGCCGGGCCGGGCCGGGCAGGCGACGGCAGCGGGAGCCGCGGGCGGTGACGGCGACAGCGGCGAGAGCGCCCGGCTCACCCGCCGGCTCCGCCCTCCGCCCCGGCCACGCCGCGCGCCGATTGGCGGGCCGCCCCCCCCCGCGCGCCCGGGACCGCCCCCTCCGCCGGGGAGGAGCCGGCACCGATTGGCCGGCGCCCGCGCCGGGATGGGGGGAAAGGAGAGGGGCGAGCGGCCGCCCGTCCGCGAGGCCCCGCCCCGCCGCCTTGGAGCAGGCGCAACGGCGGCGGCGAGGGCGGCGCGGCGGCCATGTTTGGTGCGGGCGGGCGGGGCGCGGCCCGGGGCGGCGCGGGGTCGCCATGGGAACCGCAAGGGCAGCGCCCGGCGCCCGGGCCGAGCGGCCGCGGCCCCACCGCCCCCGGGGAGCGGAGCGCGGCGGGACGGATCCGCGCCCGGCGGCGCTTCCCTCCCCCGGGCCCGCCGCGCGGCAGGCTGCGCCGGTTTCGGTGGTTGCGAAACAGGATCGTTTCCCCTTTCCAGCAGCCGAGTTCCCTTTTCTTCGAACGGCCCGTGTCCAGCCCTAAAAACGGGGAAGCGGCCCCGCGGGCCGCGCCTGCCCGGCGGCCTCCGCCTCCGTCTGGCCCCGGCCGCCCCCCTCCCTCTCTTCGCCCCGGCCCTGGGAATCCAGAAGCCGGCCCCTCGGCCTGCTCGGCGGGCGAGTGGGCTGAGCCCGAGCCGGCGCACCCCAAACGCGAGGCCTCGGCAGCGGGACTGCCAGCCACCCCTGCAGAGACACCGACCCCAGCCCCGTCCCGGTGCAACCGAGACCGCGCCCCCGAGGGTGCTGCGCGGGGTGCGGCAGCGTGGCACCGCTCCCCTGCGCTGCTGGGGCCACCACCCCCGTTGCCTGCAGCCCGACCCCGACAGGTCCCGGGGGCGGGACAGCGAACAGACCTAGGAGAGAAAAGAAGGCCAGGGAGTAGGTCAATCTTTTGCCACAGCTGACAACACCAAACCCTCAGAAATTACGACACGGGCTCAAAAGTAAGTTTAGTTCTGTTTCTTCACTGCCTTCAGATCCTCTTTTCAGCCTCCTTTCCCAGGCAGAAGAACACTTCCTTTGCAAAAAAAAAAAAAAAAAAAAAAAAAAAGCAGCTGAGGCTGGCACAGCACGACATCAGTCTCACAGCACAGGCTTCGAGGAGGAAAGGCAAAACAAAACAGCAAATGCTGCAGTTTGGCCAGCCTCACTTTGGGGCGCGTGAGCACCCAGAGGCTGGGCTCAAGCCTGGAGGGAGCTGGGATCCACACTGGAGAGGAACTACATGACAGAGCTCACCCCTTTGGGTCCCCTGCAGCACCTACACACCCACTCTGTCCTGGGAGCCAGGACCCCTGGGGTGTCAAATGTGCAAAGACACAGCAGCATGGAAAAGCCACTGCCCTGGTACACCACCTGCCACAGCAGCGATGTGCCATGCTCTGCCGCTGCTGCTCAGCCCCTGCCAGCCCAGGGCACCATCTCATTCCTGTGACAGAGGTGTGGATCAAACGTGCCCTGTGTCCAGCACAGTGCTGGGATGGTCTGAAGCTGGTCCTGTTCCCCAGCACTGAACAGGTCATGTTTGGCTGGAGTGAGGAACATGACCCTGATCAGGTAGGCTCCACCTTGTCCCACTCACATCCCAGAGAGGCAGTCCCAGAGCAGCCCCAGCATGGATCCAGCTGAGCTGTGGGGAAATGGGGACATGGTGGGGAAGGCAACTCTCTCAGATCACAGCCGGGAGCAAGCCTAGCCTTCCCTTCCTGCCCTGGCTCTCCTCTCCAGCACACCTTCCTGCTCAGCACTGCAAGCTTTGCCCTGGGGACTGTGGTTGGATTTAGATCTCCTCTATAAAATAGGAGAGGAAGGAAGAAAGAGGATTTTAAACTGCAGTTTCTGCTCACGATGCAATTAACCCCAAATACCTGGGAGCAAGCAGGTGCTTCCTGGGTGCACTGCAGTTCTTCAGCACCTCGTTGCGTGGTCAGGGCAGCAGGAGCGAGGTAGGCAGTGGGAGCAGGGAGCTGGTGCCTGCAGGACCATCTGCTTCCAGGGCAACCCAGGGAAGCACAGCAGGGACATGCAGTCCTGCCGGAGGAGCTGGCGCGGCAGGCTGGATGTGGAGAGCCAGGGGAGCTGGGCCTGGGCCAGGGACAACAGTGGGGGCCATTCCTCTGTGCAGACATACAGACATAGAAGCTGGCATGCACCTTGTGCACACCCATGCACATGCATCCGAAACCACTGCCCAGCCACGTAGAGCTCAGCAATCTGAGGGACATCAGTATGTGCACAGGCACTGTGCCTGGCAGCTGGCTGGCAGGCAGCGTGGGGCACACAGAAGGGAAGGGGAGCACAGACTTATGTCCAGTCTTTGGTGGCGTGACCAGCAAAGGACCTAGACACTGCTCACCCACAATCACATGAGATGTACACGGGTGGCCAGAGGCACCCAGGCACCTGGACACACTCTCGGCTGCCAACCACCAAAGTGGCAGATGGCTATTTCAAAACGACCAGTGTGACGTGGCTTTCCAGCACAGCAGTGGCAAATAACTGCTGTGCTGAGCATGGCCCCAGCCAGGGCCTGAGGGACAGAAGCAAACGGGAGCCCTGCAGAGAGGTGCTGGACTCCTCTTTCCCACAGGGAGGAAACAGTCCCAAGCAAAAGCAACCTTTGCTTGAAGTCTCACACATAAATACAGCCGCGACTTGGAGTGAATCATGCCCAGAGAAGCAGATAGTTAGGAATGCAATTGCTCAAGCATGTTCCCTGATCTCTTTGGATTCGGGCCATGGTGATTTTTATATTTGGCTCCACAAAGCTGGTAAAACCCTCCCCAGCCCTCTCCCCAGGTACTTGTGGTATCCCTGAGCTGGCCAGGGCACCCTCCGGTGGTCAATCCGGCTTGACTATTAGCCAGAATCCATTAGCATCTAATGGGAAAAGCCTCAGGAACACAGCCTCAATAAATGTTGACATATTTGAGGTCAATATAATCCTTAGGAAAATTTGCCCAGGTAATTAAAGCCAGACAAGGAGCTGCCGGTCCCAGAAATATTTACCACGCTTTACCAAAGGCAGTAAAATCAAGACAGAGTTTTATAACCAATCTATGCAGGGGTCCCTTGCTATATCTAGTGCTGCATGCTGCTTCCCGCTGTCCTGCTCATCTGACATCTCAGCACGCCATGTGCTATGTAGGAACTCATCATGAGCCGTCAACCAACAGACAGCACTGGTCCCAGATAATGGAAGAAAGCAGCACTGGAGCCGGGGTGGTGTGGGGAAGCACAGTGCTTTGCCATGACACAAGCAGGCTGATGTACGATGTGCACATGCGGCCAGGAGAGGGATGAGAGGACAGGGATGCCATGCATAGCCTTCCTGTTAGCAGCATCGAAGCCTGAGCACAGAGCCCTGTGGCCGTGCCCTGGGCTGGCAGGGGCTGAGCAGCAGCGGCAGAGCATGGCACACCGCTGCTGTGGCAGGTGGTGTACCAGGGCAGTGGCTTTTCCATGCTGCGGTGTCTTTGCCAGCAGGGTCTGGTTGGGAGGATAAAGAGAAAGGCTCTGCCAGGCTCCAGCCTCTCCTACATGCCTCTGAAAGTGCAAGCATGCACCAGGCTGGAAGAGTGTCTGGGGTGGGGTTTTGGAAGGGGTCCCCAAGCTTCTATGCACCATGGCTACTGCCCCATCTTCACTGCAAAATCCCAGCCCTCAGTCCCAAATGAGCACACCTCTCTCCAGGGGAGCCACTTCAAGTAAAACCGGCTACACCTTGACTCCATGTCTGACAGGTGTCTGCACAAATACTGCCCTGGTGCCAGTGTTTGAGTTGGAGGTGGGTGTCAACCAAAATTTCCTGGGGCAGACATCCCAAGGCAGGCTTCCCCTGGGCCAAGCCCCTTTAAAGAGCTGCTATTGACTCTGTCCCTTCCTTTTTCCCTCTGGCTGCAGAAAGCCAAGCTGAAGAAAAATACAGGAAAGCAGCACTGGAGGCTGACATACCAAAAGAGCACTTGGGTAAGGTTGGGAAGAGCCAGGGGCTGGAGCAAGCAAAGGATGCACACTGCCTTGCATGCACTTCCTAGGGACTAGTCCTTCCTGGAGGCAAGTCATGGCAGAAGAGAGCACACAGCCACTCTTGCATGTGGGCTCCAGTCCCAGGGGCTGTCTGTGCTGGCCCAAGAGTCCCTAGTGTGCAGTGCAGCAGCTGCTTACAGAGGCCAGCAATGTTGCAGAGATGGCAGTGAAAGAGAGGAGCAACGATGAAAGCAGATGGGAGGTGGTAGGGATGTTATGGTGGGACATCCCCCCCACACCCCGTAGAAATACTTCCCTAGCACAGCCCTGGGCTGAAATGATGGGGAGGTTTCTTGCTATGAGATTCACTCTGGTTCAGGCAGGGCTTGGGGCCAGTCAGGGGCTGAGGAGGTATCCACATCCCCCTGACTCTGGGAGCAAAGAAAGCCTGGGAATAAGTCACTGCTGGGCCAAGGTACCAAGGAGGTAGTGGACAGGGAACAGCCACCCAATATGGTTTGGATGGTGACCTTTGCCGGTGCTCAGGCCAGGGTTGTGTTGTGGGTCACCTGTCAGAAAGCATGTTGTCCCCATGGCAGTCCTGTCTGTCTCTGGTTCGCAGTTCCCTGGAGGGACATGACCTGGCAGGTAAAAGCTGCCAATGAAGGGCTCAAGCCGAGGCTGTGGGACCTGGAGAAGGCACTGGAGCAGGCACAGGAAGACAAGCAAGACATTCATGAAGGTAAGCACAGAGTTGGGAGGGGGCAGTGGGACAGATGCAGGGAGCCCACACCTTGGTGCTGCAGGGGCAAGCAAGCCAAGCTTACCTCACATCTCCCTTTGGCCTTGACTGCTCAGCACCAAACCACCCTGCTGTTGGATAACCCTGCTCCCTCCCACACTGTCAGCATGCAAAGGCTCTGGACATGGACTCGTTGCACCCCAGATGCCTGTACTCAGCACAGGCAGGGGAGACTACAGAGGCAGAGACTTCCTTGCCTGCAAAACTTATTACCTCCGTCAGTGCTCAAGAAGGGGCTGATTTTAGCAGAGGTAAAACCTCAGCCAGAGGTTTGCGGTCTTTGCCATATGCAAAACTCCGTGCTCATTTTTACTCCCCCACGCTCAACAGAGAGGTAAAACTTTCCCTCCGGGGTTCCCTCCTGCCCCCCACCCCCGGCACTGTCACAGCCCTGCCAAGCAGAGAGAGAGGGTGCATGCACGGTTGCTTCTGATGCGTCACTCTGCCAGGGGAGCCCTCAGGTCAGGCCTTGCTGAAGCCCCTGCCTGATCACAGGTGCTGGGATCTGAGCACAGGGACCACCTGCTAGTCCCTCCTAGAGTCACCACATTTGTACCCTTCTCTCCTCCCTGGATACCAGAAACGATGCGGCAATACCAGGAGCTGCAGACGAAGACAGCAGCCCACAGCCAGCACTTGGAGGTGAAGGTGAAGAGCCTGCAGGAGCAGCTCGGTATGGCTCCCTAGCATGACTGCCCCTCACAGGAGGATGGGGATGGGGTTCACTCCAGGACAGAAAAGTGCATTTGGAGGGGAGTGAGGGGAGATGGGAATTATTTGCTCTGTGCTGTCAGAAGCTGAAGGCAAAGCCTGGCCCTGATCCGAGTGCATCCCCGACCTTGGGAGCTGCTGACTGCAGAGGGGATGCTGTGATCCCACTCCTGTCCCAGAGCCCTCTGCCACCCCAGGGGTGAGGGGAATTGGGCAGGGGCTGTGCCACACACTGTCCACACCCTCCCATGCACTGGTCACACAGTGCCAGGCTCCTGTGCCCACATGCCCCGTGTCTCCTGCCTCTGTTCCCACACCCCACAGCCACCAGGCTCCAGGAGAGCCAGCAGATCCAGGAGACTGCCACCCAGGCACCTGCAGAGAGGGACAGGAACATCACCCAGCTGCAGGACAGGCTCTACACCCTGGAGAGGGAGTATGAGAAGATCCTCCATGTGAGTGGGGACGTGGCTGTGGGTGGCTCCCCCTGGCAGGGCAGTTCCCCCTTCTCACCATCCTCTTTCCCACCAGGGTAGCCTGGACCTTGTGCTGGCCAAGATGACAAAGGCCAGCCAGGAGTGGGAAGAGCTAGGTATGAGCATTGCCATGGAGAACAAGGAGCACCTACAGGAGTTTGGCCTCAACCCCCTGGAGATATAGCACCCTGGGGTTCCTGAGACAGGACAGGCTCTCAGTCCCTACCTCCCTATCAGCACACTTGAAGATCTTCCCACATCCTTTGCTCAACAGCCCAGCTGCCCCAGGCTAGGTAAGAGAAGATGAGTCCTGTCTGGCCTTGGGACGCATTGCTGAGTCACAGTCTTCTCCGTAACATTACCCACACAAGCAGCAGTGTGGATGTGTTGTTTAATCACACCCCAAATGAGTGATGCAGGAACAGTGCTGTCATGACTGGCAGATGCTCACTGCCCACAGGTTCACAGGGAGGATGAGAGGAGGAGCACAGAAGAGATATCCATGCAGGGGCATACCTGAGCCCACAGGCTCAGGTGGAGGGTTCCTCCAGCACCCCATCGGCCTCTGCTGCTCACTTTCCCCTTCACACAGTAGCCCATAGTCCAGTCTTGGGCTGAGCCAGGCCTCAGGCTTCCCAGTCCCCTGGATTGCAGCCTGGAGTGCAGTGCCTTGGCTCTCCTGGGTGCTCCCAGAGCCTGGAGCTGGGCAAGAGCTTCAGTGCAATGTCCCTAGATACCCCTGGAGGCAGCTGGGCAGGCAAAGACATCGGTCTGTCTTTAGGTTACAAGAAGCCACTGACTGCCATGGTTAATAACATCTTGGAGTCATCCTTGGTCAGTGGAGTTGAGTCTCTGGGAGGTGTGATGCTGTGAGCCCCACCACAGGCACAGAGACACAGCAGCTATGCGTGCAACGGCCATGACGAGCAGCGTTGTGCTCTGCAGGGAGCCAGTTGAGGGGCACTGATGAGCTGGAGGTGGCTTGGGTCGAGGCGCTGTGTGCAGGAGCCTGGCTGGAGACAGGGTGCTCCTGGGCCTCTAGAACGCCTGGCGCAGCTTCCTCTGCTCCTCCTGGTGCCGGCTCTGAGGCGACACAGCGGGGACATTGTGGGCAGCACACATCCACCCACCCCACCACACTCCACCCTTGCCCCACGGGCAAGTTGGAGGGGTCTTTCTGCCTGGCCTCTGTGGTCAGGGGACCACACAGCCCCGCCTCCTGCCAGCATCACAGGTGCCAGGGAAATATTAGGACAGGCAGGGCAGGCGAGTACAAGGACTCAGAGCAGTGCCAGGCTGTTAGAAGCACTGACGCAAGGGCCCAGCAAGAGGAGTTACCTGTGTGATGCCGATACTGTTGGCAGCAGCCACCAGCCAGAAGCCAGGTCCCTTTGGTCCCACCTCAATGTGACAGAGTCCAGGGGAGCCACTGGGGTATGACAGGGAGGGTGTGCAGGAGCCTGAGGCAGGGTCACTGTCCTCAAAGAATAGCAGAGGGGACAGCCCAATCTGGAAGAGCAGAAGAGGGATAGCCATACAGCAGGCACTCCACGGCAAGCCAGGTCCCTTGGGGAGGACCTCACTGTGCAGTCCTGGGGACAAGACACCCATCCCATCATCCAGCTTGCAGCACCCCAGGGCTCCCCAGCCAGGGTGAGACCGCGCTGGGTCCCCAAAACCTACCGACTGGTAAAACTCATCGCCAGCAGGGTCAATGACCAGCAGCGTGACCTGGTCATCATGGGCACGGATCCTGAGCACTGTCTGCTGGTGGTCCAGCCCCTCGATGCTCTCACCATTCACAGCCAGGAGACGGTCCCCTTCCTTCATCCCTGCCTGGTCGGCCGGCAGTCCCGCATCTATGTCCCACAAGAACTGGCCTGCCAGAGCAGGACAGAGGGAAGGTGGGGAGATGCTCACAGAGGCATTCAGCCAGAGGGGAACTGGCACTGCTGATCCCCTCATGCAGGTGGGGACAGGGTCCCGCTGTGGGCACAGGGCTTGCAGCTGTTACCAACCCTCAGACACGCCTTGCTCAGGTACAGACTGCCCACCTCATCCCCCTCACCTGTGGCCCCTGAGCTGCAATCATCCTCCTTGAGCAGAAACCCATAGCCAGCCGGACCCTTCACCATGTGCAGCTCCCGGACCTTGAAGGGGAGCCAGGAAGTGTCTGCCACGGCAGCCGTGACCCGCAGGCCCCGCAGGCGGTAAAACTCCTCCACAGAACTGGACGCCACCAGCAGCGTCACCTTGCTGCCACTCTGCTTAAGCTGGATGGAAAAATGCAGGGTGCTGAGTGACGTTGCTGACCCCAGTCCCCCACCCACCCACACTGGGAGCACGCACCTTTCTGGCAAGCTGCGCATGTGAGTAGCTCCTCACGCTGGCCCCATTCAGCTCCAGGAGCCAGGAGCCTGGTGGCACCCCTGCTCTCTCCGCTGGCCCATCCTGCCGCACTGACAGCTGGAAGGTGCCCTTCGTGCCTGCAGGGAGGAGAAGAGGCAGTCTGGGGCAAGCGGGGCACTGCATCAGGGAGGCTGGTGGGGCACTGGCATCCTGCTGCCCGTTTTACCTTCTGGACCTGACACACCGAAGCCAAAACCGCTTTTGTCTCGTGTGATGTGGCAGAGGCGTGGGCGGATGTCAGCCGGCAGCATCTGGGACAGGTCCCTGCCCAGGGCTTTGGCTGCTTCATAGGAGTCGCCATCCAGCACTGCCAGTAGGACCTGGTTCCCGCTGGCCTTGATCTTCTGCACCACCTGGAAGGACCCAGGCTGTGAACCCTGGGCAGGGCACTCATCCACCCACAGCCTGTGGAATCAGGGCCTCAGAGGGGCAGCAGGTTCCTGCACCATCTGTGCCCTTGGCCAGGGAGGACCTGGGCATTCCCACAGCTCCGGGGTGCTGCCAGCTTACCCTGCGGTGGTCCATGTGGTCCACGAAGTGGCCATTAACCTGGAGGAGCCGGTCCCCGTCCCGCAGCCCCCTGCGCTGGGCCAGACCCCCCGGCTCGATCTGCCGGATGACATGGCCCCGGCAGCCCAGTTCCTCGTGGAGGCAGAAGCCGAAGGTCTCCGTGCTGCCCTTGCTCAGGAGATAGAAGCGGGGCTCCCCCAGGCCCTCACCCTCTGTGTAGGAGCACAACCTGTGAGCAGGGCCCTGCAGGGATCCTAACACGAGTTCTCTACCCCATCCTGGGCTGGGGTCTCCCCATCCCTGCTGCCTTATGTGTTCACCTCCTCACAGCTACCCAGAGTGAGCGAGCCCAGGACCCCAGCAAAGCCCAGCTGCCAGAACCCCGTGCTGACACAGGGATGCCCTGTGGAGATAAGGGTATTTACCCGTGTCCTCAGTCAGCGACAAGGCAGGGTTGTCGATCCCATCTTTGGGGTTAAATTCAAATTTTCTGAAATGATAACAGGCAGGAGAGGCCACATTAGTGCACCAGCATGGCCCTCCCCCTGCCTTCCCCAGAGGATCCCCGTTCCTCCCAGAAAGGGCCAGCCAAGGCCACAGCTTCAGTGCCTCTTCTTCCTTGGGGAAAGCCCAGGAAGGGGATCTCCCTCTTGAACTATCCCTCACATCTCTCCTGAGCTAACAACTCAGGGAAGACCTTCCTGGGACAGGCAGCTAGGACTGGCAGGTGTTGCCCACAAAACCTGAGCTGAGGATGTGCCCCAGCACAGCCCACTTATGGGGCCATGAACCCCAGGAAGCCCTCGGCCAGCGGGGGCTCAGCACTTACATGATGGACTTCTTGTCACCCTCGAGCCCTGCAGAGGGAGAGGAGAGGTCAGTGCAGGAGGTGGCAGTCTGGGAGCAGACCTCACCACACTCTCAAGCATGCAGGGCTTTTCCAGTTGCAGGCTGAGCATGCCATGCGAGGTGGGTTTGCCAAGTCGATGCAGCCCCCCAGCTACAGCTTGCGCCCGGGCAGAGGTGGGCCCTTGGGCCCGCCACCAGTGTCCTCCTGCATTTCAAAGCAACAGGAGAGCTGCTGCTTGGGTCCAGCGGGCACCTGCTGCTGCCCAGCCCAGTGGGGTCCTGCAGCACTGGGGGCAAAGTAGGGCCAGGTGGCGGTATGCAGATGGAGGTTAGTCCCGGGGGTTTACAGGGCTTTTCAGAGTGGGATAAGAAGAGTCACCAGGGCCCCAGAGAACTGGTTGGAGCCCCGAGATGGACACAAAGGCCTTCCACTGAGCACCTCTCCATAAAACCCCTCCCCACCTCTTCCAGCACAACGACACCCAAACCCAAGGAGAGGGGATTCCTGCCAAGTTCCCCCACAATGTCCATCTGCATTTTCCTGAATGCATTTAGCTCCTTCCCACAGCCTGCCTGGGCTCTGACATTGCCTTGCTCCATGCGGAAGCAGGGCCTGGAGAGCCGCATGTGGGAAGGGTCTCTGCAGGACAAAGCCCCACTGTCCCGGCACATACCTTTTGTTTGCTTCATGGCTTCAGGGAATGCAAGAGGGAGCAAGGTACAGGGTGAAGTGGCAGGGAAGGCAGTGTCCCCGCCTCTTCCAAGACGCCCCAGGTTTAATGGTTAAACGGCCAACATCTCCCCTGCCCTCCCAGCCCCGGGGCCACTGCCAGCCCTCACCCAGCTGGGAGCAGGGACCAGCACCCCAGGACACCCAGCTTGGGAACAGATCCTGGTGTCCCAGCTTCCAGCTGCCCCCAACAGCAGCCCACAGTGGGAAAGACCTACTGGTTCAGCATTTGCTGGAGCAGAAGTGGGCTGCCCCATCCCCTCTCCGTGAGACGGGGAAGAGCCAGAGCTCTCCATTCCAACTGCAGGAGGGACAGCTGCACCAGCACCTTCCGCATTCCTCCCCCAGGAAGGGCCCAGAGAGATCAAGTCTTGGCACTAGTGTGCTCCAGTGGAAACAAAGCAGTGCACTTTAATGCTACCAAAGGCTTCATGAGCAAGCCTGAGTCCCGCCCCTCTGCCATGGCTGTGGCCAGGGCAGCAGCGGCCACGGTGCAGCAGCTGGGACTCTACAAGCCCAGAAGAACAAGTCCCATTTTCTCCTGACCTGGTCTCTGTACAGTTCTCCCATGCTTCAGACTTCCCCGCAGATGCGGGCTGAGCCCCACGTACCCAGCACCTTTGACAGTCTTGGTAGCACCCAACCGCTAGGCATCTCCATGTGGATAATGGTGCAGGGGATGTGCTGCTGGGGCACACTCCAGTGTTTCCTCCCCAGAAGCACCGCTGCCTCCCTGACCAGGTGGATGGAGAGCAGGTTAGAGGGTCCCGTGCTGCAGTTTCCCCAGCATCTTCTTGACCTCACTCTCAACTCGTAGGAACTTCGCTTTCCTCCAGGGGTTGGCAGTCTGTCTCCGGCTGCTCTCCAGGTCCTGCAGGATGAGGGCAAGGTGCTGCCGAACCCGCTCACGGTCCCAGAAAGGCAGGTTCCTCTGCACCACGTTCAGGATATTGGACCAGTAGTCGGAGACATCAGTGCCTGCTGTAAGGAAGACCAGTGCCCTGACGCCATCCCGGTCCATGCGCAGGCTGTGAAGTGCCCGCTTGCCATCCTCACTGATGTCGTTGAAGTACAGACTGCAGATTGAGAGAAAAGGAGCGGGGGACACTGTGAGGGCTGAGGGGCAGAATGCAGAGGCAGAGAGGGGCTCCCCGCTCACTGTCACAGGGAGGGACACCGGGTCAGAAGCATCGCCTGAAAGAGGGATGATAGGACAGAGCGAACTCACTGCACTTTGTCCAGCGTCGTGTGCTTTTTGGCCACCTCCACCACATGCAGGGCAGCGGTGTCCGTCAGGGAGTTGTAGCCCAGGTTCAGCTCCTGGAGGTGCTGGTTCTCAGCCAGGTGCTGAGCAATGATCTCAGTGCCCCGGTCCCCCAGTGCGGTGTGCAGCAGGGACAAATAAGTCAGAGAGCGGTTGCCTGCTAGTGCCTCAGCCAGGTATTGTGCCCCCTCCTCACCCACAGGGTTATTCGCCAGCCTGTGAACACAGGAGCTCGTGGCAATGACAAGGCTGGGTGGGGGGCCCAGGGCCAGGGCACATGGTGGGCAGCAGAGACAGTTTCATGCAAGGACAGAGGCAGTACTCACCGCAGGTTGCTCACCACACACTTGTCATGCAGGAGCAGGTCACGGATTTCCTTGCAGGCATCAGTGCCCAGGCTGTTGAGCTGCAGACTGATGCAGAGCAGGACATCGGAGTGGCAGGACCGAAATGGCTGTTATCTGTGGGCCTGGCAGCCCTGCTCTCTCCATTATCCCTGGCCCTCCCCATCACCATCCTACCCGGGCTCCCCAGACAAGGTCACGCAAGGTTTCCTCTCCAAAAAGGAAGCACACTGGAACTGCACCAGAGCTTGGGTAGCATAAGCCAGCAGAGCCAGTGCCAGCAGGAGCAAGGGAGGGGAAGGGGGTGGAGGGTCCGCAGAGTGAGGGTGAAGGGCTGAGGAGGGAACAGGACCCCACCAAGCCCTCCTGAGCATCTGGAGGAAGGTGATGCTGCACAGTCCCGCTGCACAGCCGAGTCCATCTCTGCTGAGCACGGCTCGCCACCCCCTGGGCGACAGGAAGACTGCAGTGCTACAGGCGGACTGGAACGGAACCCAACCCTGTGCGCAGCCCAGACTCCCACCCTTGGACTGCCTATCTCCTGCCCGGAGTTAGCAGTAGCAGAGCTAGACAGGAATGCGGGGTGGCTCTGGGGGAGCAAGCAATGGGAGAGACTTGGGTCTGCCAGGGGAGCTGGCAGCCCAGGCTGTGGTACCGGTTGCGGAGAGCTGCCTAGGGGAGGGTGTGTTGGGACTGCAAATCCCAGCATGCAGTGCCCTAGAAAAGCTGCTCAAGGGCTGTTGCATGTTGGAGGCTGTAGTCCCCTAGGCCTGCACTGAGAATAAACAAGGGCATGTATGTCTTTCTCTACCTTTGCCATGCTCCGTCTCCTAGTGTACCCCTGTGATGGGCAGAGGTGAGGGACAGCCCAATTTCTAAGCACTGCCCAAAGGCAGAAGAAGGTGGCACTTACTGGAGAGTTTTGCATCGCAGCAGGACAGGGAACAGGATCCTCAAGCTGCTCGTGTCAAGGTTGCAGGAGGTCAGGTTCAGCTCCTCCACCTCATGGCACGTGGTGCCCATGACAGATGCCAGGACAGAGCACTTGAGAGGGGTCATCTTGACAGATGAGAGGTTGACAGTCCGGAGGGAGCGGATGGCCTCAGCTGTGAAGCGCTCATTCTGGAACTCGTGCAGGAAGAAGAGGTAGTCCATCAGCTCAGAGGGGGGTAACCCCTTGCGGCTGTTCCTGATGACTGTCTTCTTCATGGCCTTGGCAATCTCAAAGGCTGCCAGGTTCTTAATGGAGCAGCCCAGCTGCTCAAGGATGGCGCGGTTACGGCGGGATAGTATCCCACCCATGAAGATGGGGAAGAGCTCAAAGACCTCATCATCAGGGGCCTCATCAGGGTGGCGCATGGGGCCCTCCACACCCAGGATACTGAAATTGATCTGGTCCAAGACATCATCATTGTAGTAGTCCTCCTCTTTGAACAGCTCTTCTGCCATGGTGTGGGCAATAGCACCCCGGTCCTTACCACTCAATCGGGAGAAGTAGCGAGGGAAGATTTTGAGCAGGTTGAAGAGCACTGGCAGGAAGCGCAAGGGCAGCACTTTGGAGATGATATTCAGAACAACAGCAACATCTTCACTCACCTTCCCAATGACCTCTGACAGCTCCTTCCCCACTCTCTGTGCCAGGGTCTTCTTCTCACCCAGCACCACATACAAGGCTGCCAGGTATTCCTGCATAGCAGGGATGGTGAAGACAAAGGTGTGCTCTTTGCCTGGCTGCACACAAGGAGTGAGGAAGAAGCGGAAGACGTCACTACGGAAGACCTCCAGGAGGTTAAGCTCACTTTCAGTCTTCATCTCCACCTCAAAGCACTGCTGCAGGTCATCCTCTGAGAAGCAGGTCTTGCGGGACATCACCCCTTCGTAAGCTAGCTTGCCCACCGTCTTGGCCACATATTTCATCATAGAGACATTGGTGGGGTCGGTGCTGTCCAGCACCTCCCCAATGAAGTTGAGCCTCAGGAAGCTGGTGTAGATGCCAGTCAGGGTTTGGCTGGGAGGCACTGTCCTGGTGAAGTAGAGGAAGTGCAGCGTGGTGCACACCAGCCAGCAGTAAGAAGGCAAGAAGCAGGCAGCAGCTATTTGGTCGTGTCGCTCCAAGTTCCTCACCAACATCTCCAACAAGTTTTCCTTCTCGCCAGAGCTGTTACCTGCACTGTTCTCTCCACTGCAGCCAGGCTGGCTGAGGCGCATCTGGAAGTAAAGCTTCTGCAGGTTGGTGTCAGAGAAGCCACAGATCTCGGCATAGCGGCCCACGTACTTGCCAGGGATCCGGCGCACTGCTGATGGGCGTGTGGTGACAATGATGCTGGCCTGGAAGCAGAGGGCTGGGTGAGTTTGGAGGTGCTCCCTCTGTGACTTTGATCTAGGCTCAGCAGGGTCCCAAGTGCGTAAACTGCATCTAGGTGCACAAGGATCATACCACCCAGGGACTGGGGTTCAGGAAGCTGCTGCCTAAAGGGCACTGGTCCAAATCTGGCCCAGGCAGAGGGGACAGAAGAGCTTTCCCCATCCCCTGCTAGACATATATCGAATCTGGAAGACCACAGTCCAGCACACTGCCTTCTTTGCCTTACCAGGCCTCCCCAAAGATCCCAGAGACAAACCAGTAACAGTGACATGAGGCCACCTTGGTGAGTCCCTGCAGCAATGGAGGCTGCCTGTTCACCCACAGTCAAGCTGGATGATAAGCAGTTAGCACAATGGCCATGCCTGCAATGCCCCAGGGCTCACCCCCAGCTTTTCTCCAGCATGAAGGAGCTGAAAGGAGACACTGACCTCTGGCAGGAGGTATTTTCGCAGCAGGTTGACCACGATGGCAGAGGGAGGCACAGGCTCATTGGGGTCACAGCACAGCTCTGTGCCAGCCAGACGGAAATCCAAGTTGAGGCGCTCCAGGCCATTGAGGATAAAAAGCACCTTGAGATTGGAAGTGCCCAGTATCGGCACCACATCCCGGAGGTGCTGGTACTTCTTGGTTATGAGGCGCCGCAGGGAGATGGGGGCATGACTATGGGACAGGTCCTCGCAGGAGAAGGGGATGACCAGCTCAAAGCGGGGTAGGCAACCATGGCACCAGTCCACCACCATCTTCTTGATGAGGGTGCTCTTCCCTGTGCCCACAGTGCCATACAGCACCACGTTCTTTACCTGACGCCCACAGGCATCCACATCAAAAAGGTTCTGGAGGCTGATAACTTTACTGCAGGGCTGCTGGAGCTGGTTCTGGATGGTTAGGTCAGGCGAGGGCTTCAGGATCTCCTCCAGGGAGCTCTCCCGGATCACTGGGTCCACGTGGACTGCATCCAGTGAGAAAGAAGGGCCAAACTGCCTCTCTTCATTGGGCTGGTGGCTGAACCATGCAGACAGGCTCTTCTGGTGTTTCTTGATGGCATCTGGGAACAGGAAAATGCTTGACAAGACAAGGGCTTCTCACTGGCAGGGGATTGGGGAAGTTGCCTGCCCCGAGCCACTGCAGTGAGGTGGCTGCAGAGAAGACAGAACCCAATTCTTACTAACCCTCACACTGCCCAGGACAACAGCTGCCCCCAGCCCACTGTGTAGGACCCTCCATCCTCTTCAGCACAGAGCTGCAAACTTACCAGAAGAGGCCACATTCCTCAGCTGGGATAGGCCGTGGCGAGAGGATCTGGGCTGGACAGAGTACTCCTGGGACCCTCCCTGGTAGTGAACACAGCCCCTGCAAGAGGAGGGAGAGTCTCAGAAGGAGAGCAGGGGCCAGCAGCTCCAAGTACTGCCTGAGGCAGGGTGGTCAGACCACAAGTGAGTGCTGTGGGAAGTGCTGAGTAGAGTTGGCAGACCCCTTCCTTCCCTTACACCAAGGGAGAGCACAGGGCTGGGGCCAGGACAGGGCTGGGAATTGAAGGCAGGTCAGCAAGCCATGTCTTGTGCATCCCCAGCAAACCTATGGTGAGGCAGAGAATTTGGGCTGAATTCAGAGCGGGCAGGGATTTGGGTCTGGGTCGTCTTCTAGGTGTCTAGGCAAAGCAGTGTCTCTGCTTGCAAACCCCCAAATGGTCCCAAGACAGCCAGGTCAGCCACCCAGGTCCTGTGGCAAACAGTCACAGGGCAAAATGGGTCAGGTCGCAGCTGAGTGGCGCTGTACCTGCGGAGGGAGATGCCTCTTGCACAAAGGATCTTCCTGAGGAAGTAGCTGCCTGAAGTGCCTGGCAGGGAAGAACACACACGGTCAGGGATGGCCTTCTCCAGAACAGCAGAGATAACACCACCAAACTCACTGGATTCATGTGTTTCTAGGGTGACCCACAGACCACACACTGTACAGCTTAGAGAGGGATGTCCATCCACCAGGGACACAGCTTCCCTGGGGTCAGGACAGATTCAGGGTCACAGTCCCACAGGCCCACAGCCCAGCTCACCTGGCACTGAAGCAGCACACAGATACACACTTTGGTTCCCCCTGCTCCCTGGCAGGGATCGACACAAATGCATCCACCTGCCCCAGGGCAGGCAGCTCTGGCATTGCATGGCCCACAACATCCTCTGCCTGAAAGAGAGGGGAGAGCCCATGAGGCAAGGCTGGGTACCTGGACCTGCCAGTTCCTTGCCCCAGTGCAATTTTGCAGCCTGAGGCTCTTCTTATCCCCACCCCAGACCAGAGATGCCTGGGTCAGGAATGACCCATTCCCACATCTGACCCTTCAAACCCACTGACCATGGGGAGTAGTGGTGGGCCAGCTGGGAGGGTGGCTGGAGCAGAGTTGAGCTGGCAGAAACACGTCCCGCCTCAGACTCCCTATCCAGCACCATTCACAGGCATTGCATCAGCTGGATTGAAGCCAAGAGGGCAGCAAAGCAGGGCCCCAAGGAGGTACTCACCCTGCCAGGCAAGCCTGCAGTAACAGTACTGCTACCATAACCGCGAGAAAAAAAGTGCTGGGGGGAGGGCAGGCTTCTTCCTCCCAGGCTTGAGGGCTTGACATTTTAGAGATTTATATTAGAACAAACCAACCACCCTCCCCAAACTGCCATGAAATCCTGTAACACCAGGAGCTGGGGCTGGGACAGAGGAGACAGCAGGGAAGGGCTTAGGAAAAGCAGAAAATAAAGGTGATCCCATATCCTCACGCATGGTGACTTCCCCCAGTCCGCACTGGCATACCCCGGAGCTGCCCTGTTGTGGCTGGCCCTGCCGAATGGTGCTGTCCGCCGGCAGGCAGCCCTTGCCACGTCCTTGGCAGCCGCTGAGCCCGCTCGCCAAGCCTGCCAGGCCCAGGCGGCTGCAGCATGCCGCGATGCCAAGCACAGCCTCTTCCGACTCAAAGCAGCCAGGGAGGCTGCAGCCAGCAGTAGCCAGGGCACAAGGCTGGCAGGGGACTGCAGGGCTCGGCTGGTCCGTCAGGGCTGCACTGGGTCCAGCCCAGCACAGGGTGATTTTTCCCAGGCAAAGCTCCTACCTCCAGAGGCAGACGAGGGGCTCAGCCGCTCTGTGGTGCTTGGGCAGCTATCCCACATGGGCCCAGCTCTGCTCCCCAGGGATGTGACACAGCAGTCTGGCAGAACCGGCCGCGCTGGTGCTGATTCAGGCTCCCACCCCACCTCAGCAGGATGATCCTTACAGTCCCCAACACCCTGAGAAACTGAGGCACAGGGGTGTCGGGGGGAGGGTGTAAGCAAACCCCAGCAGGTAGGAAGGGACAGCATGCAAATCTCTCTGCACTTGTCCTCCTCCAGGAGAGGATGAGCAGGGCAACAGCTTGCTCACACCTCCCACAGCCCAGACTTTTTGCAGACCCTCATCTTGTTGTCCAGGAGAAACTGTGGCATGGGGTGAGGTTGGGGCGGGGCAGAAAAGGGGTGGAGGCAGTGGAGCTGACCTTGAATCTGGGTGTCCTGGCCTGGAGAGCTTTGCAGCAAGAGAACCCTGGCGTGTCCCATGCCCGGCTCCCAGCCCCTTCCCAGCCCCCTCAGCCACCCAGAGCACGCTGCCGAGCGGAGGGCACCGTGCCGCCCGCCTGCTGCAGCCCCCCTTCAGGGACCCCTGGTGCACGCCTGGCCCACATGCCTTTGCTCTCCGGTTGCCGCTGTCTCCCACCTCCCTGCTTCCGTGTTCGGTGGCCAAAGCCCTGGTGACGCTGGGACCCGGAGCCCACGGCAACGGTGAGGCTGGCGCTGAGCAAGGCGAGATCGATGGCTGCGCTGAAAACAGCAGCGTTACCTCCAGCGGGACTCCTTGCCAAGGAGGCTGAGCCCAGGGCTCCCTGTGCTTGTGTTGCCAGGCACTGAGCCTGTGGAGCCCGTGGAGGAGAGTCTGGTGCTGCTCAGCCGCCTCCTTCCATTCCAGTTCTGGGAAAAGGCTCCTCTCTGGAGGCGGCTGTTTTGCAGCTGTAACTTCCTGTAACGCCGTCCGGTCCCATCCTGCCCCGCGCACAGCGGCTCCGCCAAGCAGCACCGGGAGAGCAGCCACGGCCCCGCTTTGGGGACACGACAGAGGGGCTGGCAGGCACAACACAAGGAAAAACATCTGTACCCCCAAACACAGAGACACCCACAGCATGGGGAGGGGAGTTCTGGGGTCTTACCAGCGGTGCTGCAAGGAGGGGTTTCCTCTGGACACAGAGTCTGCATCCCCAGCTGGTGGCCGGCTAGGCAACAGGAGCCCACAAGGACAAGTCCTGCTCTGGAGTGAAATCCCCCTGTGGTCAGCTGCCGCTGCCTCACAGAGCACGGGGCAGGGAGTGGGACAACAGCAGTCCCACAGAGAAAAAAGCCTGGAGGAAGCTGTGCTGACAGGGCAGCCCAGCACCGCCTGGCTTTACCTGGCTGTGTAACACATGTGCATAGACACTCACACACACAGACAGACATACAGACTTACCCTCTCAGTGCTGAGACCAGATCCAGCAGTGCCTGTGGGGCTGCATGCACCCTGCTCGGCTCCTGCGTGCTGTCCCAGGAAGCACTGGCCCACCCCAGCCAGGCACTGCTGACCCAGGGGTGCTGGGGCAGAGGGTTCATGCCCAGGTAACCCCAGAGGCCACGCTCGCACCCCAAAGGCCTGCACATAGCCCACACAGACACACATGTCCTTGCACACCTTTGCACACACTCCGCACCAGTCCCCAGCAATGTGTGCAGCCACCTGCCTGCAATGCTGCCCCCTCAGCACCCACCTCCACACCCCAACACAGGGATGTCAGTCAGTTTACCCAGGCACATACATCTCCCCTCGCATGCATGCTCTCTGGCCACTCAGGGAGGGAAGGTAACCAGGCAGTACACTATAAATATAAGTTTTATTGATGTGTGAAATCCAACAAGTACAGCTGGCATCTCAGAAAGACTGAAATAAGCCACATCATCTCCACCTGCTCAACAGTTCCTGGGGCCCTCTGGCTACTGGCAAGCACCAGCAGCAAGCTGGGACCTGGGCACCCTGTCCCTGTGGGGCACTTACCTGTGTGCATGGCAGCACCTGAAGAGCCAGCAGGGCCCTGCCAGCAGCCCTGTGCTCCCCCCCAGGGACAGGGGGGCTTTACCTTTGCCCTGCCTGGTTCCTGCCAGGCTACAGCTGTGGGTGGTGGTGCCCTGGCCCTGCTTTGCAGCCACCTCTCACCAAGGGAGAAGGACCCAGGCAAATCCCACCCACACATGGCTACCACAGCAGAGCTACGACTGTATGAACAGACTCTCTTGGCCTTTGAGCTGTTATCTGCATCTTATTTTGGTAAACGGTCCCAGGAAAAAAAAGCAGCTCACCTCTGGTCACGTGGAAACATGGGTTTCAACAGCTGCACCTCTCTGCATGGTCCACGCCTGCCCTGTATCACACATGCACCCCACCGTGCAACCTCCTCTGCACATGTGGACATGGCAGTCTGGAAAACCACAGAGTCCAGCATAGCAGGGATGCATGCAGGGGTCCCAGGCAGCCACAGGCTGCCCGTGGCATCAGAAGCTCCCATGGCAGAGGGACAGGACAAAGAATGTCCACACACAGTGAGAAGGAAACACTGTTTTATTGCCTGATTTGAGAGAGGGGTGAAATCCTAGGAGAAGCCCCATCCCCTTCGTGTTCCAGCCCGCTCTCCTCTCCAGCAAACCCTAGCACCCGCCGAGTGACGATGCATTTGCTCTTGTGCGTGTGACAAAGATGGCCTGGACATGCATGGAGGTGAGAGGCCATACCCCCACTTGCTTGCCTGTCTGCATTCACAGCACGCATGAGGGACAGGCAGTACCTGATACAACCATGCCTGTGGGCTGAAGGAGCCAGGCTAAGGGGCTGAAGCATTTTTAGGTGGGTTGAGGTTCAACCAGTGCTCCCAGGGAGCTGGAGCCAGAGCCTGAACCACATCCTCATCCATTCAAAGTGCATTGCAACGGGAGGCAAAGGGCAGGAGGGGAGAGGAGGTGTGGGGGAAGAATCCTGCTCTCCTCCATCACACTCCTCATGATTATCCAGACGCATTCCCTGGTGGGATTCCTGCAGCCAGAAGTACCCCCTGCTCCCCTGCTCTGATAAAGTGCATCCTTGCTGCTGCGTGTCATGGCATGCTCCCCACCCACTCAGGACAAGGCAAGACCCAGACTGGGCATCCTTGGCCCCACACCACAAAACAACCAGTGTTATTGCCAAGGGGTCCCGCCCCAGCCCGTCTCCGTGCCTAGCTTGCCCTGAAGAGATGTCCACTAGCCAGGGGGCTGGAGCATCCAAGCCTTGCTTCACTAAGGGCCCCTAGAGTGGCTGAACCCCATTCCTCTGCCCTGCCAAGGTACAGACAACCCCTCTTGTCCTGCTCCTGCAGGGCAGGGGGCCATCTGGGCAGCAAGGGGGCAATAAATCCTGAGTGCTTGGCCCAGCCATATCAGCTTGCAGGGTTTAGTGCAAACGTGCTCAGTCCCTTTGCATTTCTCTGTGCCTTCTACCACCTCTGGGATTGTCCTTGCTGAGAGGAAAGGGGCAATGGATAGCCCTGTTTTGGCACCTTGGCTTAGTTCACTCATCAGGCACCATCTGCCTGGGGCAGGGTCTGCCAGACCCAAGCCCTCTGTGCCATGGGGTGCCCAGGTCCCTCACTCATACCAACACATTCACTTGCTGGCTTCTCCGGGGCGCTTCAGGCCTCCTGCTGCCCTGGCCTTGGGGTTGAGGGGCACGTGCCCCATAACGCACCCTCCCCAGTGCCCTTGCCCAGCTTGGGGCCACAGCCATCCTCCGTCTCCAGGGCTTGCCCTGGCCCTCTGCCCTGCAGTGGCCGCATACCTGGTCAGCTGGGACCCTGCAGCTCGTGCACTCACCGGCACAGAAGGCTCAGGCTGTGCTGAACTGTCCTGGAGATCCTGAGGGTGCTGCCAAGGGCCCCAATCCCAGATAGGCTGGTCTGAGCAGCCACCTGTGGAGCTACCTGCCTCTGCAGTCTCACTCCAGCCATGCTGAGCTTGGGCAGTCTGTCCTGCGGAGTTTCTCTGCAAGCAGCAGAGGCTGGCCAGCAAAGGCTTCTGTTGCAGCATCCCTGTGCATGGAGGACACCGGCAGTGGCAGTCACAGGTGCCTGCTGGTAACCCCCTCTGCTCCACACATGGGCCATTGCTTGTCCATCTCGTCCTGGTCCTTCTGGGAGGGGCGGTGGTGCTGGCTGCGATGGCACAGGGCTGTCCCAGGAAGCACCATGTTCTGGGTGCAGGCAGCAGCAGGACACAGCGCTGGGGATGGCAGTGCCTCCAGTGTGCAGGAAGCAGGACACACCACGAGAGCCCCCTCTGCCAGGGAGTGGGCAGGAGGCAGGAGCTGTGCAAAGCTGCACCACTGGCACCTCCTTCCATCTTGGTATACATCCAGGGGGAAACCTTCAGCCCAGCAGTGCACGCTCTGCCCTAGGCAAGGCTTAACTAGCCACAGCCCAAGAGCAAGACAGAAGTGAGGCATCGGTCCTGTCAGCCCCACAGACAGTGAGATGGAGATGGGTGACAGCCAACAGCTCCACTATCCTCCTGCCTCTCTGCCCATCCATCCACCTCATGACAGAGCAGATGTGGGGACCGTTCCCCACTAGACCATGCCCCTGCAGCTGCCGTTGGCAACTTTGTGCCCACGAGGCTGCAGCCCCCCAGGCTGGCACAGCTCCCTTGCAGAGCATGGCACAGGGCTGGGAGTGAAGGAAGATCCAGGAGCAGAGGGGAAATTTGTGAGAGATGGCAGTAAGTCAGACAAGAGTCCCTAGGGAAAACCCCAATGCTCATCACAGAAAGGGCACAAGGGCATATCCTGCTTCCAGACCTTCTGTGCAGAACCCCATGGCTACAAGCTCCTTGGAGCAATGCTGTCCAAGCAGGAGAAACCCAGCCTTGCTGAGTACCCAGCACTAGTGCTGTCACACATTTGCCATCCACCTGCAGGCCAGCCAGACCCTGCTGTATGGAGCAGTCCCAACACAAGCCAGTAAAAGCAAAGAACAGTCTCAAGGATTTTGCTGAAATCTGGCATTTACCCTGCAATCCCCTGCTGCTCAGAGAGTGTAGCATCTCACAGACTTCACTTGAGCCAGGGCCCAGCATGCCAGGATGGGGTAGAGCTGTCTTCCCCATGTCCATGCTCACTAAAAAGCAGTGGGTTCCCACGTGTGTGGGTGACCAGTGCAGCCCCATGACTCCAGTGTCAGCACACGCACAGAGACAGGCCTGTGCTACGCAGCTAGGCAGCATGCTGTGTTCCCGGCACAGCAGCATGTGCAGATGCCCCACCAGCTCTAGTTTCAGCTCTGTTCCTTTGGAGAACCAGCAAGGTGCAAAATGCATTCCCTCTGTGGGAGGTGCAGACAGGCAGGTGACTTTGGAGGAGCCACTAGAGACACTTGCGAAAAGGGACCTTTTCCCGATACCAGTCACAAAGTGCAAAGCCCTTCCCAGTGTCAGGGTCACCCAAAGCAAACAAACTGCTCCAAGATCTCACCTGCTTTCCAGTTCTGGCACTGCTGGGACCCCCTTCTGCACAGTGTTACCCTGAGAGGTTTGCACTGTGACGAGGCCAGGGGCTGGCATCCCCTCCTTGCAGAGCCAGTGCTGAGCAAGGCTCATCTTCCCTGTTCTGCTGAGACAGCCACAGTTGTGCTGAGGGAAGAGGGGTGAGGAGCGAGACGGTACAAGGGAAGGACTCAGGGCCAGCTCTTCTCCTGCAGTAGAGGTTCCAGCGATGGCATGGCTGAGCTCAGCCTTGCTTTTCAGCTGATTGGTCCTGGCAGGGTGTGGGAACATAAATCCTCCCAGCTCCATGCAGCACTTGAAGGGACCAGTCACTTCTCTCCATGTTGGCCGATTTTATCCTCTTGGCTCAGATGCCAAAGACAACAGGGACTGAACGTGAGACGCCCTAAGGTCTGAGAATACTGTCCCATTCCCACAGAGCCTTCCACATCCCCAAGTTTGATCCCATCTCTGAGGATGGCATCTGAGCAGAAGTCTGAGACAGATCCCCAAGTCCTCTTTTGTCTGATGGCTCCCTTTTTCTTCCATATAGACTGAGAAGCAGTGGGGTTTAAACAAAAAAAAAAAAAAAAAAAAAAGAAAAGGAAAAAAAAAAAAAAAGGAGGATTTGTGCAGAAATAAAAAGGGGATGCAGTAATTTCTGTGGCTACAGTGACAGGAAACACTAAAGCCTTGTGCAACTTGTCTACTGCATGTTTGGGCTCTTCCTATCACTGACACACATGCTGCTGGCCAGGACGAGCAACAGGGTGATGTGCTGTGTTACCAATCCGCGCTCAGCAGTTGCCTCCTCCCAGCTTCAGCTCAGCCAGCCCCAGGGCACTGCTCCCCTCCTGCCCAGAGCAGCCGGCTCCTCTCGGCCTTGCTCAGCAGACAGCCGCTTCCCTGGGACTGTCCCCGGTGTCCCAATGTGTTTGGTGGAGAAGTGCTGGGCAGGGGTGGCAAGAGGGGACCCAAGCTCCACGGGGTTTGGCAGTCCTGGGGGAGAGTGGCACATACCAGGGCTGTACAAAACTTTTTAAATGAAGAGTGTGTGGAAACGTTAAAACAGTTCCGAGATGTCTCAAAACCCTTCTCGACTGAGCCAGGCCTGGCTGGCACCTACCAACACCTCCGCCATGGTCCATGACCTGCTAGGAGCACTGTGTCCATCTGTAGAACGTCTCTCACAGCAGGCCAGGCCCAAGAACGGCACCGGGGCCCCATGGCCCCTTTATCTCTCTGATTTGACTTTGTACCTGAGGACCAGGTAAGCCAGGAGCCGCAGGATGATAAAGAAGATGCCCAAGATGAGGAAGTCCAGGTAGAGCTTGGCCTCCTCCACGTCCAGCTCCTGCAGGATCTTGATGGGTTTTTGGAAAGGGCAGAAGTCCTCGAGGCACTCCAGGTCCTCACGCTCCATGGCATAGATGGTGAGAATGACGCCCTCAAAGCCATACCTAGGGCAGAGCACACCACGAGAGTCACCGCATGCCCCAGTCAGCCCCATTCTCTCCCCAGCCCATGGGATCCCAGGGCAGGAAGCTTCTGGCCAGAGTGCAGGGTCCCACCTGACATAGGAGACATAGGAGCTCCACTGAAGGTAGGTGGGGATGGTCTTGAAGCTGACAAAGAAGCCCGAGAAGAGCAGGACGGGGATGGCAGTGACGGGTCCCACAAAGGTGGCCACCTGGAGAACAGAGGCCACTGGGTGTCATGTCTCTGTCCACAGGCACACCGCCTGTGGCACTCACATGCCTGCCTATGGGCAAGGATTCCCTCCATCCCTCCTTGTCGTGGGATCCCCTGCAACTCTCCTCCCATTTCCACATAACGGGCAAATCTGGGGCCCCGTCTGACCTGGAGGGAAGTGGAAGCAGCTCCAATGAGAAGCCCGAGGGACTGGGCCACCAGGGCTGTGGCTGTGGCCAGGGCAGAGAAGAGGAGGAAGCGCATGGCTTCGGGTGGCTGGCCCGTCATCCAGTATACAATGCTGCAGTACGCGATGGGGCAAATCACCTGGAGTGGGGGAAAGCAAAAAGACTGCTCTGATGGACCCATGGATATCCTCACCCCACAGATCCTCCCTGGGAGATGGAGGGCTGCAGGGACCCCTCAAAGTCCAGCCTGGGGTATTGGAGTAACTGGGCAATTTGCTGTGCCAAGGAAGGCGTGTCAGCATCGGAGCCACGCTTTAGTCCAGCCAAAAGCTCACCTGGAAGGGCACATCTGCCATGGTCTTTGCCAGATAATAGGCTTTCAGGCTGTACCAGTAGTTCAAGTGCTCTCGCAGGAACACAGACATCTCCTGGGGAACTGCATGGAAATGAGGAGTCAGCAGCCAGCCAGTACCCTGGCCCGTGCTGCTCCAGCCCCTACTCCCACCTCCTCTGGTGCAGGCAGGTGTGATGCTGCCCTAGCACAGCACACCAGGCAGCCTCCTGCTTGCACCACAAGTGAGCGCTCAAGTCTTCACCAGGGAAAAAACTCAGTGGCTGATGTGGGAACTTTCTGCATAGAAAAGTCAGCTTGGTTGGGGGTTTTTAGGCAAACTCTTGGAGGAACTGAGAGACAGATGAAGCAGCTGAAAATGCAGCTTTACAGACATTTTCTCAACCAAAAAAAATTCCAGCATTCTGCTTTGAGCCAGCAAGTGCATTACAGCCAAACACAATAAAGGGCAAAACTGCAATACACTTAAGCTAAAGATTTCCCCCTCTTTGAATCATTATCCTCTTCTTTCTTATTTCCCCCTTTTTGCCCAATTCACCTGGCTCCACCATACACCACCCAGCAGACACACTCCCACACAGCTAGAGCAACCCCTCTGCCCCAAGGGTTAGGAGCAGTGAGTGGATGTCGGGGGAAGGAGATCCTTACAGGTGAGGATGGTGGGCATCAGAGCAGCAAACATAAGGAAGAGCATGGAGAAGAAGAGAAAGCCGGTGTTGTTGAAGACTTTGCCTGCATCGTTGCCAATGTGCAGGTAGAGCAGCCCGATCAGCACCCCAATGCAGATGTGGGACATGAACCGTAGGTGGGTCAGCACCTGTGGGCAGAGGATACAGGGGCTCAGAAAGGCGGGGCTGCATCCCCTGAGCAGCCCAGGGGAGCAGAGGACAGCCTGCCAGCTCCTCAAGGGCAACCAGCACTCCAGCCCCGATTCAGCTCCTGTCTTTACCTCCCCCAGTGACTGACAGGCCCCATCCCCTCAGCCCTGGCCCAGCCTCCCCTGCCCTCACCGTGTCCCTTAGGATGCAGATAAAGGTTCTCTTGAAGAGGATGCAGAACTGAGTTGAAGTGCTGGTAGCAAACGTGTGGCTCTCGATGTGGTCCACGTCCTGCAAGACCACAGGCAAGTCAGGGACACAGGACAAGTTCACACCACAGGCTCCCTAGCGGGTTGGTACCCAAACGCTCCCCGGCTGCCCCCTGTGAGCACCTCTGATAAGAACAGGCACTGCCAGCTGCAAGCACAGAGCTGTTGCTCAAGACAAGCAGAGGCTGGCTGAACATCTCCATGCTCCCCACCATGTCCAAGGAGCTCTAGGGATCTCACAACACTCTAGGATACCCATGCACTGTGGGTCAGGGGGGACTGAGGGGTCCCTGGGTGGGCACCCCATTACCTGCCACTCCCCATCACCACAGGAAGCTCCTCTCTCATCCCCACTTACTGTCACACAGTGTGCCGGGCACGATGGATCTGCCTTGTCAGGGCTGCTCTTCTTTTCAGCCATGGTACACATGCCATTCTGGACAGCGCGGAATAGGACGGGGTTGAGGTCCCCGTACTCTCCTGAGGCCACCTCGATAACTGTGGAGGAAGACAGGAGCCCTGAGAGGTGCTGAGACAGCCTTTGCCATCTCTTTTCTTAGCCTGCCCAGACCATGACCCCGTGGGGCAGGGGGGTGGGAGCGCCGCACAGCTCCCACCCTGTGATGCTGCACCACAAGGCAGTACTGCCCAGCCAGCAGCACCTGATGGGAAGAGCATGGGCATCCCTGCTCCCTGGGCAACCCAGGGGAACATTGGGCAGCCCCTAGAGCTTTGGCAGTGCATTTGGACCTTGCCACCCTCTGCTCCCCACCACAGCCCCAGCTTGGGCAGGGGCACTCACTGAAGTCAGCAGGGTTGTGGTATGTGGGGCAGTGGAGGCCAAGACCCTTCAGATAGGGGATGAGGTTTGTCACGATGCCTTTGAAGATGCACTGGCCCTGGCTCAGGATGTACAGCTGCAAAAAAAAAGCCAGGATTATGGCAGGTGCAGAGCAGCCAGGGGCACTGTTGCCTGCTCCTACCCACCTCCCTGTCCTAGGGTGTCACAGGGCACCCTTGCCAGACCCTGGCCATCAGGGCTGTGTGCCACACAAGCCCCAGGTCAAATGCCTGCAGCCCATCCCCCCCACGGCCTCTCTCCTGGGTCTTGGGGCCAGAGGAACCCTGCACCCCTGAAGAAACGTGTGTCCTAGCCCAGCCCAAACCTTGTCGAACATCTCAAAGAGCTTGGCGCTGGGCTGGTGGATGGTGCAGATGATGGTGCGCCCACCCTGAGCCAGGGACCGCATCAGGGAAACCACCTGGAAGCAGGAGGCACTGTCCAGACCGCTGTGACCACACAGGATGGGGTGGAGGAGAAAGAGACAGCAGAGAGAGAAGGGGAGAGTTGAGAGGGTGAAGAAGTACATCCTAAAGATGCCCCCGCTTGCCTCCCCTTGTGCACATCCTCCTCTCAGATCAATGAAGAAGAGCATCCCTTTGCAGTCCGCGCCCTGCCATGCCCCAGCCCTCCTGGAGCCCTGGTGGGCACAGTCACATCCCACCCTCGGGTCTTGCAGCCCTGCTGTGTTCCAGAGGGTGCTGGCCACCCCAGTGTCCCCCAGCGGGGGAAGCCCAGCTGGGCAGGCAGTGCTGGGGAGCCCCAGCCCTGCAGCCTCACCTCGTGGGCTCATCGAAGAACATGACTGGAGGGTTGTTCACCAGCTCCAGGGCGATGGCCAGGCGCTTGCGCTGGCCCCCAGACAGCGAGATGGTGCGTGTGTAGGAGCACTCCAACAGTCCCAGGGCTGTCAGGATCTCGTTCACCTGTGAGACAGCCTCATTCACCATGGGCTCCCATGGACCCTCACCCCATCCCTGCCACCTCCCTTCAGACCTCCATCACTGGGAGCCCCTCAGCATTCCTAGTCCAACCAGGGCCCTCCCTTCCCTACTGTCTCTGTCTTAGGGAGAGTTCAGGGGGCCTGAGCACACCTTCCTCCACACTTACCAGCTCCTTCTTCACCTCCTGCTTCTCACTCAGCTTCAGGTTAGCAGAGACCTGCAGGGAGAGGATGGGCAGGGAGATACGACTGTCAGATGTTGGGAACAGAATCGGCTGCACCACGGCCCCATCTTTACCCAGCCAAGGGCTGGGAGCAGTGGCTCAGGATGAAGGGAGCAAGACCATCAGGATTCTGTTCCTGTGTCCCAGAGGCCTTCGAAATGCCTGATGTCAGTGCGGGCTCAGTGCCCGAGGACACAGTCCACAAGATGACCCGCAGAGCCCAGCAGGTTGCCTGGCTCCCGCATCGCTCACCATCATAGCCTCCAGCACGGTGAGGTGCGGCAGGAGCATGTCGTCCTGCATGATGTAGCAGGACATCTTGCGGAAGGTACGCAGGTCCCGTGGCCGGCCATTCACCAGGATCTGGCCCTTCATGCCGGTCTCCCTGAAGGAAAGATGCATGGGGAAATGTAGCACTGAGCCCCCAGCCCTGCATCCCAACACCCACTGGCTTCCCCCTAGTCTCACCTGTAGCCAGCCAGGATGTTCATGAGTGTGGACTTCCCAGCACCTGAGGGCCCCATGATCCCAATGAGCTCCCGCTGGCAGAACTTCCCTGACAGGCATTTGAGGAGAGTCTTGTACCCTGGAGGGAGAATGCAGAATGGGTTCAGCTTTCCAGATCAGCAGTGCTACAGGGACTGCGATACCATCCCAGCACCTGAGGGACCTCAGGACCTCCACGTGTTGTTCCAGGGGCTGCATGTGCCTGTAGACTGTCTCCATCAGCATCCCCAGGGCTATAGCCCCAGCCATTTTCAGCATGATTCCTGACCCTGCTCCTTGGCTGACCCCACTGATTTCCAACACCAAAGAGGCACATGCCCTGGATCGTGGCAAAGACCAGAGAAATGCCTGGGTCAGGGCACATAACTGCTGAGGAAGTTTACCAGGCTGTGACATTGGCCCTAGGCATGTTGTCAGATCCCAGCCCCTTAGGGCCAGTGGAGAGGTGCAGCAAGAAGCAGGGTAGCATGGGGCAGGCAGGGTCCCCAAGCCCACTGGATGCCCGGCTGTTGCCTTCATTGGCATTCATGCTGTGACACCCGGCAGCAGCCACTGCTAATCAGACCTGGAATTATCTCTGCTTTAAACGCAGCTGATTAGCATTTTCTGGCAGAAGGAACATGATGTGTTGGGAGTAAGGAACAGGCACAGCCTCAGGCTCTCAGGAGCTGCTCCCACAACACAGCCCTGGCAGGAGAGCAATTGTATGCAGCATGCTAGGACCATGCTGAACCACAGACCAAGTCTGAGCACCTGCTAGAAATATGCCCCCCTGCACCCTGTGCTGGTAGCTGGCGTTGGGCAAGGGCAACACACCCAGCTCCTGCTCACAGGCTGGGGCAAGACTCAGGACAAGACCAGCTCACAGTCCTTGTACCACACTAGGACATCAGCCCCTCTGGCTTGTCAATTCCCAGGACGGGTGGTCTGGCACCACAAGCTCCTGCTTCCTCCTTTGCACCCCTCAGAGTCAGGTGCCTTGCATCCGGACACGGGCCCCACTCTCAGAGGGGCAGCAAGGTCTGGGAGGGGAGGGCAAGGGGGTATGCATGACGACAGCAGAGCGAGCACGCCCAGCAGCCCCCCCCCGGCGCATCCCAGCACCACGCACACGGCTCCGGCACCGCGCATGCTGCTCACGTCGGCGCCACTGCAGCTTGCGCAGCGGTTACTTGCGTTCATTGACTGCCAGTAACCTCCTGCTTCAGCAGAACGGGGCAGCCTGGCTGGGTCCGGGGGGGGGGATATAGCCAAAGTCCTCACCAGCTCCTCCACCTGTGCCTGGCCTGGGAGAGAGGAGACTCTCTCCCACTGCCACTCGAGGATCCCAGCACCCCTCAGCATGCTCCTATCCGGTCCAGCTGCCGGAGCCTTTCCCCCTCCCCCTCCCTCCCTGCAGGGCACTGACCCACTGGCAAGCAGCTGGTCCCCAGAACTTCTGGTGCTACTGCACATTTTGCCCCGGGGAACCCATGGCTGTGCCATGGTTCTTCCTGGGATGGTTTCTCAGCATCCCAAACAGGCAGACCTCATCCTGAAGGATGTCAGGTTGTCCCATCTTTCAGTGCCTCAGTTTTCCTAGCTAGAGAGCCCTGGGGACAGGGTCAGATGCCTCATATGGTGCTCCCGGCTGGCAGGGCACCCCACTGAGTAGCCCTGTGCACTCAGTCTGTTCACCTCAGGCCCCCCGCTCATCCCTGCCTTCTTCCAGCTTCTGCAGATCAGCTCCCCTTCCATCTCATGGGGCTGCCTGATTGGCATCCCATTAACTGAGAGAGATAATTAAAGCAGACTACCACCCACCAGTCTCCATCTGCCTCCCCTCTCCCCTCTCTGAGCTCTCGGCCAGTCACACACAGAAAAGGGGACCACGGCCTCAGCTGCACCGGGAGCCGCTGGAGAGGAAATCCCCTGCAAACCACACGCATTGTCCTTGCCAGGCTCTGAGATGGGGCACCCCTTGGGATCTCCTGCTGTCAGCATGTCACACACAGCCATCATACCCCAAACAACAGTGCTGGGGAAACTCACTCATCCTTGTCACCCCAAACCAGGAAATCTGCCCCATCTTCCCCATGCAGCCCTGGCCAGTGGTGTACCTGTGATGCGATCTGCTTTCCTCCAGCACTGCACAGCAGAGGTACGAAGCAACTGCTGCAGGACACAAGCCTGCCCTCCACCCATGGGTGCCCAGCGAGGACAGCCAGCCACAGCATAGCTACAAACAGCAGCTGGCACTCAGACAGGCCGCGGGGCCAAACAGCCTGACCACCCAGACAGCCCTCACTGCTGCAGAGGACAGCAGGGCAGGCGGCTCCAGCAGCTCCTGGTGTGGCTCCCTGTGTGCAACCCTGCTGCCATGCACTGAGGCAAGCTCCCCCAGGCAGGCAGAGCTGAGGCACGCCATGCTTGCAGGGGCTGGGGCTGCTTGGAGAAGGAATTGGCAGGGAAGCGATAAATCCAGCACAGAGGCAGATGCTGGGGACCTGGGTGAGATCAAGGCATACAGAACAGGAGAGCGGTGCCACAGCCCTGCAGGGCCCCTCCCCTGCCCTTCCCCAGCCGGCAGCTCCTACCTCTCTTCCTCCACCACGAGCCTTCACGCACAGAGTAGGACAGGTCAATGAACTCAATGTTGACGGCTGAGCGCTTCGGGAGGTGGGAAAACCTCTGGGCCTCTGTGATATGGTTCTCCACCTTCTTCAAGTGAGTGGTGAGGAGCGGGGCATCTGGGGGGCTGGCGTGGCACACCGTGTCCTCCAGGGCAATGGAGACACACGCAGGATCGATACCTTTCTCTGCCATCCTGCTGCTCTGTAGGAAATGCAGAGGGACCAATTCACAGTGGGCCCCCCTCTCAGGGCCAGGGACCAGCCCACAGCAAGTCGTCTCATACCCTTTCCTGCTGGCTCCAGACCTCACTACCCCCCCTCCACCCTGTGATACATTGCCCAGCAGTGATCTGGTACCCTCAGCTGGACGGAAGGATGGACCTGGCCAGGGCAGCCAAGCCTGCACCAAGGGGCTCATGGCAAGGAGCAGCTGATCAGTTCTACAGTCAATAATTCATGCACCTCTTGCGGCTGGGTCCAGTTCTGGCAGCAGAGCTGGCAGATTGTTCGTCTCCCCTGGCCCTGCTGCTGCTGGGCTCCCTGCCCCGCTCCTGTCTGCCGTGGTGGGTGCAGGATGGGAGGTAGGAGAGCTGAGGTTCTGCCCTCAATGGGGGACACCCAGCTGTGCCTGGATGCCTCTAACTGCTGGCCGAGCTGCGTGGCTTGGCTGGGGCCTGGGGGACACAGGTATGGGGACCCAAGCAAGCAGACTATTCCAGCCAGTTTCTCAGACAAAGCATGCCATGCCTCACCCAGGCTCCTGGGGCAGAGTGGTCCTGGCTAGCTTAGACCCTCAGCTGGTGCTCAGGATCCCCATGGGCTTGCTGGGACAGACTTAATAGAACAGGGAAGGGGCCTTGCTAATACCAGTCCTCTGCCTCCCTCAGCTCATTTCACCTTCTGGGCTCTTACTAGTACAGCCTCAGCTCAGGCCAGTACTTCACTTAACATTGCATGATGCGAACACCCACACCTTCCCAAACGCTCTCCTGCTAGGCAGGGTCGTCTGCCTGCAGTCCTCCCTACAGCCGGCTGCAGCACAGCCAAGCTCTTCATGTCTCCGCTTGGCTTGAGGACTCTCTGCCGTGCTGGGTGGATATTAAACCAAGCAGGGTGGGAAACAGACTAACCCCAGGTCCCACTGCAGCACCAAAGACTGGGAGGGGATTGGGCATCCCCACAGCACCAGCAAAAGGAGCCTGAGCTGTGCCTGAGCAGGCTGGGCCCAGCACCCATCTCGCCTCCAAGGCTAGGGTCCTGACGATTCGCTAACCTACATTTTGCTGAGGCGCAGGCTGCAGACAGCTCCTTGCTACAGCTGCAATGCACACACACACAACCCCTGAAAGAGGAAGCCTGCCTCGCAAGGAGCTGCACCGAGATCTTCCCAGCCCTCTTCCCATTGCAGACAGATCCCTTTCAGGGCTGGAAGAAGGCCAGCCCCAGCCCCGGGGAAGAAGAGGTGGGAAGGAGGGCTGCGGGATCCCCACTCTCAGCAGCCGGGAGGTCTGGGACACGCTTAGCACAACGGCCCCGCCGTGGCACACAGCCCCAGGGTGCAGGAACGAGGGTTCGGGGGGGAGGGGGGGGCACCAGGCACAAAGCGCCCTCGGGCTCACCTTGACTCCTTCGGCTGGGCGTTACAAGGAGCGCTAAATCCGCAAGCCGCTCTCCGCGGCTTAGTCCATCCCCAAGGCGAGGGGTGGGGAAGGCAGCTTTGCCGAGGATGTTCTTCCTTCATCCCGGCTCCGCGCCGGCCCCCCCTCCATCCCCGGCCCCCCCCCCCCCCCCCCCCCCAGCCTCCCGGGCAGGGCAGGGGGCTCCCTGGGGAAGGGGCGCCCAGAGGCTCTTCCCCCACAGGCTCACCTGGCAGGCTGCGGGCGCGGCGGCTCCTCTCCCCGCCGGCAGCGGCTGTGCCCCTGCCCCTGCCGCCGCCGCAGCGCCCTCCGCCTCTCCCTCCTCCGCAAACAAAGGGGCGATGCCCGCGGCGGGGGCTGGGGATGCCCGGCCGGGCAGGGAGAAGGCGCGGCGGCCGCCGGCCGGTCCTCAGCGCCGGGACCCAGGCTGGGCGCTGCCCCTGCGGGTCCCTACCCGGGGTCTGCTCCTCATCCCTCCGCAGGGCTGGGCTGGGCTGGGCGGAGGGCGGGCAGCGCAGGAGCGGGACTCTCCGACCCCAGCCCAGCAGAAGATAACAGCCTCCCGGGCCCGGCTGCTCGGCGGTGCCCCTCTCCACCAGCTTTGTCCCCGCTGCTGCTGCCTGTCGGGCGGCAGGATGGGCTGCTCAGGCAGGCTGCACTGCCAGGCAGCGAAAAATCCTCTTAAAGGGACCGGCCTTATTTCCTCTACCCGCAAGCCAGAAGGCCCTGAGCATCCCCAGCGCACAAGCCTGGGGTTTACCAGCCCTATCTCCCCAACCCCCCCAGCACCCCTCCCCACTGCCTGCTCCTGTTCACACACGGGGCAGAGCCCACAGCAGGTCCCTCTATCGCCACTTCAGCCCATAACCCTGCGAGCAGGCAGAGCTCGTCCCCTAAATCCCCCAACAACCTCTAAGTCCACTCCTGCCCAGGGATGCTTCTGCCCCCACTCAGCTCTGCACTGACCTGGGACAGGAGTCACACCACCGTGCTGCCACCCCAACAGGGGCACAAGCTGGGTGAAACCGGGGCTGCAACGCAGAGCACTGTCTGGGAAGCCCACACCAGGCATCAAGAGTTGGGGCTAGTGTGGTTACAGCTGGCTGCAGAGGGATTTGATAGGAGAGTGCCCCCACCCAGGGAACCAGGTGTGCTGGCTTTACCCCCAGCACACACTTCCCTCCCCAGCTCATCAGGTGGGACCCGCCCTCCCCCTGCACCTCCACCCTCTGCAGCACCGTGCCTGGCTCCATCCTCACTGTTACTCACACCTCTCACCCACCACAGCACTTAAACATGAAAGACATATGGAAATGAGTGGCACTAACAGAAGTATTAATTAAAAAACCATCTGTTGAGCCAAGGAAAGCTTTCCCCTCCCACAGTCAACCTTGGGCTGGGCAATGATTTGTCTCCTTGGGGATGCAGGATCCAGTCATAGGAGAGACTGTGGGGCAAGACAGCCCACAAGCTCGGCAGAGGGAGGGCACAAGGAGATAATCATGGAGCCAAGCTCCACATGGAAGTCTTAAGTCATGTCCTCATGGAGCAAAAGGCACACTGGACCCATCAATTTTGTTCCGCATTCATCATGCCAACTCCCATCCCCATGAGACTCACCATTAGCAGGTCTCAGCCCAGGTGCCCTCAAGGCAGTGCAAAACAGCTCTGCTTCCCTGCAGGTGGGCACAAGCAGGGCCTGGGAGTGAACTCCATTGATGCTAAAGCCCCTTCCTTCTCAACTGCCTGAGGATAGGTCAGGAGCTCTTGAGACCAAGCTGGTGGTCATACAGCAACCAGCAGCTGATGCAGCATCCTGTTGTGGAGTAGTTTCAAGGTAGAAGGCCAGCAAGGATGGGAGTCTAGTGCCCAGAAAGGCTTGGTGGTCAGTGCCATGGACACATTAAGTATCCGTCTGGTCTCTGGCTAGGACCTTCCTACAGTGGCCTTGACCACAGCTGTGTCCCCATAGTGGCTCACATGTTCAGGACAGTACCAGTGGCAGAGGGAGCCTGTCTTGGCTCTGTCATGTATGTCCAGTGCTCCAGGGAGAGAGCAGGAAGCAGAATCTCTTTGTGTGACTGGAAAACCTGTGTGATTAGCTGCAAACATGTTTTTAATTACCCATTGCAGCGCTTCTGGTCCTCTAGCTCCCCTGGCAATTCCATCACATACGCTCAAGACTACCTTCTCCTTTCCTCAGGGAATAAAAATTCTGGCTTTTCCATTGCTGCTTCAGAGGAAGACAACAGGGCAGTCCCCAGGAGCACAAGTCTGTTCCCAGATGAAGCTGGATACCAGCATCAGCATGAATGCACTCTACTGAGTATCGCCCTGGTGATAAGTGAAGGGCCAGTGGGGAGAACAAAGAGTTTAGGGAAGGGAGCCTGGCCAGAAACCCACTCCTGAGAATAGAGATGGCATAGCACAGGGTTACAGCAGTGCCCACGATGACTGCTCCTGCCAAGGGTCAGATTGATGGCAGCTGTGCACAGGCTAACAGGTCCTATGGTAGGCAGTGAGAGCCCACAGCCCCAGCGACCTTCTCAAGTGCCTGGAAGGAGCCATTGGGGGCCCAGAGTCCAGGTCTTTTTCTCCAACTACAGGACCAGAGAGCCCTGTTGTGCTCAAGACACTCCCGTTATATTTCCTTACCCATCTTGGCTGTAGGGTATTGGCTACCTCTTTGTGGCTCCAAGCTGCTGGGAGAGAAGTCCCTGGGGAAAGGGGCTCTCAGGACAAGACTGTAGACCCCTGGAAGGATCATGCTCTGCAGCCAGTGTGTAGATCAGACCATGGTAAAGGCTTTGCACCTGGGAGCTGAGACCTTCCCCCACACCCCCCCACCCACACCCCCACATTAACTGTTCTGGTCCCAGCACTCCTAGGAAGGCTGTAGGGCAGTTTGTGCCACTGTAACACTTGATTCCCCAGCAATGGGTGGTGCAGCCCTGGCCAGGCTTCTCTGCCCTGAGAGCTCTGCCCATGGCATGGGGTTAGCAGGCAGATCCTATACTCCAGCTCTGCCTGAAGGCTGCAGCAAGTACAGAGGGTACATCTACCTCTCAGCCCAGGGCCTGGCTCGTGTGCAGGAAATACCTGGCAGGGAGAAATCACAACCTGCAGCACAGATGGGATAGATACTTCTGCAGCAGGCACAGGCACACATGCTATCTCCCCGAGGAAGCAGCCAGGCAAATGGAGGCCAAGACACCAACATCCCCAGGAAACACATGCAGCTCCCCAGTGCTTGCTGCTCACAAAGCATCCCCTGCCACTGAAGAGTCATGGGATGAGGCGAGGCAGGAAGGTAGCCCTGCAAGAGAGCAAGTCCAGAACATCTCCTCTCAGATGACAGCCTTGGGACAGATGGAGCTTGTGGAAGAAGGACAGCAATGGAGACACGTGGCAAAGGGAAGCAGACATCCAGGGTGGAAGCCTCCCTCGGCGTGAGGCCGGTGACCACAGCCCTGGATGGCCCAGCTCTACCCAGAGGAAGCTGTAAGGAGAGCAAGAGCAGCAGATTTTGAGCTGTTTGGCAGCCCTCAGCTCACAGTGTCAATCCCTCCCACAAAACAGTGAGAGAGATCCTTATCAAAGGTGGGCAGCTGCTACCAGGACTCACTGCATGGGACGTGGCAGTCACACTCGCAGATGTCATAGCACAGGAACCAGTGGGCCCAGCCCAAGTGCTTAGTAACACAGGCTGAGATCTTAATGCAGCCATGGTTGAGGAAAGCTCCCAGGTGGGCCTGGGTGCTGTAAGATGAAGAGCACCTCCTGGTAATGTCCCACTCGCTGATCTCGATCCGACCTCGCAGGCAGATCCCTGCAAGAGCAGGGCCAGAGTACATCATAGGATGCCCACCAGCCTGACAGCCCTCCCACAGTTGACTGGGGGAAAAGAGGGAGTGGAAACATCCCCGAAGCCCTCCCGCCAGCTCCCCATGCAGGCAGGGTGTCCCCTTGGGCTCAGCATGACATCCAGTGGTACTCACGAAGGCACGTGGGCTTGGGGGTCCAGCGGCCATTGGACTGACAGGCACTGGCCGGGTTCCCCAGGAGTAGGAATCCAGGCCGACAGCTGTACCGCACCACCGAGCCGACCCACCAGTCATTGCTGTACACCACCAAGTTGAAGTCCGCTTCGGGTCGCCCGCAGTTCACTGGGGACAGGGAGGTTCCTGAGGGCAGTGCAGGGCTAGCACCCTGTGCAGGCTGCTTGGCAGAAGGGCAGCCCAAGGGGATGCACCCAGACAAGGCTGAGGCTTCTGGGAGAGGACCAGGGTGCTGTGCGGGATGTGTGGATGCCCCAGGCTGCATCCCCGTGTGGCCTGAGGATGGGGCTGCTGGAGAGACTCCACGCACATGTGTGTGGCGCAAAAGCTGCCCTCCCCAGGCTGGCTGTGCCAAGCCCTGCAGGCATTCCCAGGGTCCCCCTAGTTTCCCTGATATGCTGTACCTCTGCATAAGGACTTGTAGCCCAGCCAGCAGCAGCTGCCATTCCCACACCGGCTCCTCTTCAGTTTCTTGTGCTTCCCCGTGCAGCCCTCCAAGCAGATAGGCTCTGTGCCAGACCAGTAAGTATCCAGGTCTTCTGGTGCCATGGGAAGCAAGGCAGAGCAGGGCTCGGCTGGGGCCGAGGACCACCCTTCCCATCAGCTCCCCAGCCCTGAGACCCGCAGGGGGGTGGTACAAGCCCAGCAAAGGCTTCTCCCAGCCCACCCCTGACCCCTGCTGTGGTCAGGAACGCATTCGCTAGCACCCCCAAGCTCTTCTGCAAGCCAGCTCCCACTTTCCCTGTGCCACACCTTGGCACAGGGACACAACAAAGGTCTTGCTCCCACCTGGGGAGGACCAGTCCAGCCAGGTGCCAGCAGCAGCTCTGGGGCACCCTTAAAGCCCCTCTTCCCCCAAACACCCTGTTACCTTATGGGTCCTTGCAGAAGACCAACATGGCCAGCACAGCAAGGAAGAAGATGCCCACTCCCATAGTGCACACTCTGCCCTCCCCCCCTAGCCCCTCAAATCAAAGGCTCCCCCTCTGCTTGCACAGGAGAAAGTGAACTTGATTTCCATACACAGAGGACAAGGGCTGCTGTAGGACATGGGGGAAGGGAGGAGACATTCCCTTTAATGCCAATCCTCTCCCCAGCAGGTAATCTCTGGCAGATTACTCTCCCTGGACCCTGTGTTTAAAGTGACACCTCCTCCCAGCCACCATAGCCTTGCCTCTGCTCCCAACACCTAGCACTCACCTCATGCAGGAGCACCGTAGTCCAAGGTAATGCAGGCGCAGCCACAGCAGAGCCTTGAGGCCCACACATCGGAAAGAGGGCCAAACTGGAAGTGCTGCAAATGCAAATCTGGCAGGAGGCCCTTCTCTCGAAGGTATCCTTGGCCTAGGTCTGCCAACTACCAGGGAGCAAGGGCCAGGCAGGGGCTGGGAAAGCTGGGCAAGGCCCAGCCCCATTGCATGCCAACAGCCCTCCCAGGGGCTAGCTCTCCCCAGAGCTAGCAGCATCCTCCTTCAGTGCATGCTGTCAGGACTGCTGGGACAGCCAGCTGCCTCCTGCTCTGCCTCACCCTGAGCACAAGGTGCCCAGTGCATGGTCCTAAGCTGTGTTTCACTAGCCCACGGGATGCATTCCGCATGCACATCCCAGGAGAAAGCGGCATTGGGGTGCACACTGTCCTTCACGCACAGATCCAGCACCAGGAAAACTTCCCACACAGCCTGCAGGAGGAAGCTCTGCCCACTTCATCCACCTGCCTTACCCAGCCTGTGCATGGCAACTGCAAAGCATGATGCTCCTCACCCGGGGTGCAGGCCTAAGGGGCTGCTCTCATCACCCCATCCCAAGGGCACAGTCACAAATCATACCCACGCTGTTTGTAATTAGAAAGTGAGCAGATGGCCAAGGGTTTAGCATACAGTGATTTACTCCATTAACCCGGAATTCCAACAGCTTTTGCTGAACTGCTTGAGAAAGGAAGCAAGGGGAAAAAGTCAGCGTCCAGCTCAGATCAGCAGGGCACCTCCCTGGCTCCATCTGGGCACGTCACCTCCACACACCAGGCAGTGCGGGCCCGAGTGTCACTCCAGGGACACCAGCTTCACACTGTCTTCATCCAATTTCTTTAGCAAAGGGCAAACTGGCTCTGCACACAAGCCCAAGCTACTCACTATAGTCAAAAAAATGACATTGCAGGCAGCTGACATTCACACCCTGAAGGAGGCAGCAAAAATCAAACCCACATTAGGACAGCAGGGAACAAGAGTGCCAGAGCTAAAGCTGGCCTTCCAGTGCCACCTCTGGGGATGTGGAACAACGCACTCTCCAAGACAGTCACCAGCTGCACCAAGTGGCAGTACACAGGACCTGTCAGGAGATCCTGGCAGCTCTTCAGTGCCCACCTCCCACACTGCAGGCTCTAGGCAACTCCGTCTCACCCTCATCACAACATTCCACAGCTGGCAGGCATGGGGCTGAAACAGACACCAGACACCGGTTGCCCTGGCAGTCTGACTTTTATTTGTCTTGCCAAAGTACACTTTGCCCAACCAGGAGCCCAAACCCCAATGTGGGGAGGAAACCTAGGGAAGGACAAAAGTAATAAGAAGCTTCCAATCCCCCAGGGCTGCAGGGCAGCAGTAGCCTGCAAGGGACAGCACCTCCAGCCCTCTCCTCCCAGAGATTGGTGCAGGACGATGGGATCAGTGGTGCAACCACCAACAGCACCAGCTGAATGACCTAGGAAAGATGATGTGCAGAGACGTGCTGACGAAGGCAGAAGTAGAGCATGTCATGCCTTGGAGAACAAAGTATGGATGTGGCCCCTTCTGAGGGCCACACGTCTCCCCAGGGAAGAGGCTTCAGACGCAACACCTGCTCAGCACACCATCCTGTCTGGAGAGATCATAGCAGAGGACGAGGCTCTGCAAGGGTTGACAACTTAGCTGCACAGCAGCAGAGACCACGTCACCAGTGAGTGACCAGGAGGGGAAGGCCTGTGTCAGGCTAGGGTCAAACTTCTTCGAAGGCTGGGAGAGGCTTGCTAGTCCCTAATCTCTGAAAGAAGCACACAGATCTTTCCCGCTCAGATCACTCGATCCACAACTGAGAGACCTGTCCCTCCCCCCTTCCCACGCTGACCAGAACTGGCAGTCAGTGAGGCTGGGGCAGCAGAGGGGAAAGCTAGCCAGCTGCGGGTAGGTGAAGACAAGCTCTCTACCCCAAGCACTTCCCACCCTCCCCCACATCTCATGGAGGCCTAAGTTTTCCTCGTGCAGAGAGGCAGGTGAGCACCTCACACAATCTGGATGCCCAGCTCCTCAGCCGTCTTCTGCAGACGGTCCATGACATTCTCCTCCATCTCCATAGCCAGCCCACCAGGTGCTGCCACCTGCTCCTCAGAGGATGTGCTGGCCATGACATAATACACAGTCTCGCTCTCCCCATGCTCGTTGGTCCGGTTCACGACACGGATGATGGGGTTGGCTGGAGTGCTGGATTCTTGCTCCGATGACAGTGCTGCTCCTGGGAGGGCACTCAGCCGAGCTGGCTCAGGGCTGTCAGCAGAGCAAGGGGTCGGGCGCAGCGGAGCCACTTGCAGCTCAGCAATACTGTTCTCCACCAGTGGGGCCTCTGCCGAGGCCTCCAGAATGATGCCCTGAAGGTTGCCCTCACCCTCAGACAGCACCACACACTCAGTTGAGCCATCCAGTGCCTCCCCCTGCTTCTCTCGGTCCTTCAGTAGTTGCTCTGTCAGCTCCACGCTCTCGTAACGCACCAGCTGCAGCCTCATGTAGCCATCCTCATGTTCCTTGTACCTGAGCAGAGATAAGCAGGGGTGATGGAGCCAGTCACACTGTGGCCCCTTCCCAACAGACAGGTAGCAGCCTGAAGCAGCAGCCAAGAAAGGGGCACTACATTCTAGGTTCCAATGCCCAGTGCTACATAGACGATACCGGGCAAAACAAAAACCCTTCAACCCCCACCCCTAAAAGCACATCCCTGTTGCAGCTTCTGAGCTTTCTGTCAGGCCCTTATGATCTCCCAAGCCTGTCTCCTTCCACCACTCTGTTTCACTGGGAGCATCTGAAGTCCATCCTCTTTCCCTCTCGGCTTTTAGGCTCTGGAAACTCCTTGGAACTTCCTAGACAGGATGCAGCTGAAGCATCTGTCAAGAGACTGATCTGCAGCAGCTCCTTCTAGAGTCGGGCACATGGACCTGGCCCCTGCCAAGCTCAGAGGCATCCTACCAGATGCAGCTGTGAGGTACCACTGCTGCCCTTGCCCCTGAATCTCTGACCTACTGCTGGAGCTGTCAACCAGCACTGCTCTGTCACTGTGCCAGATCTCACCAAATGCTTGCTGCCCAGTGCCTTCCAGCCACTGGGAAATGGGTCTTGAGCACATTACACGCAAACATCAGAGCCCCTGCACTGCCAGCTCTCTGTTCCAACACAACATAGGATGCAGCTCCAGATGTCTCTTGCACTAGAGAGGAAAAAGCGAGGAGCTAAAGATGGGCAGTACCTGAAGCGAGGATGCCCTGAGGGCCATTTGAACTGGTGTTTCTTCCTGAGGTGGACAGTGAGGTTGTTTCCACGTGTGAAGCACTTGTCACAGACATGGCACTTGTACCGGGGCTGTGAGTCACCCTGAAGGGCAAAGAGATGGATGTGAATACCCCATGAGCCTGATTAGAGGGCCTGGTACCCACGCACATGCATAGAAGGAGGAATCAGGTTCTCCAAGAAGACTGACATGACACGTATTATTGCAGCAGTAAGAGAGGAATGCAACCCAACCTCACATTCCTACAGCCCTGGTCAGCCTGGGGCACTTCACAGGACTTCAGCTTTTTTCCTCTTGCTTCTATACAGCATGTTGTACTTAGAGGTTCTCAGCCTTATTGAGAGAGAGTACACAGCAGAACAGCCCTCTGCTCCCTTCCTACCTCATGAACTTTCCGGTAGTGCAGTTTGATGGAGCAGAGGGAACGAGCAGTGAAGCTGCAAGCCTCAAACTCACAGCGATAAGCTGGCTCTTTGCTGTGCGTGTCCAGATGTTTCCTCAAGTCAATGAGATTCTTGCAGCTAAAAGGAAATGATAAGGGAACGAAGTTGAACACTGATCACTTGTGCACACACACGTGCCTCTGGGTGCTTCCCTGTCACCAGTCTGGAAAGACAGAAAGCCCTGGTCTTCACCTGTAGTCACAGTAGTCACACTTGAATGGCCGCTCCTCACTGTGCCGAAAACGAATGTGATTGCGCAGGGAGGAGGGCAGCGGGCAGGTCATGTCACACAGAGGGCACTTGTAATGGTTCACTGTGAAAAAGAATGGGTGGAAAACGTTACCACAAACCAGGGGAGAGCACACACTCTTCAGAGCCTCAGTTGGGAGAAGCCTTTACTCACCATGGTTCCTCATATGGTCACGGAGCAGCCTCTCTGTGGCAAACCTCTTGGAGCAGTGAGAACATTGAAACCTCTGCTCTGCAGCATCAGGGCCAGGGAGAAAGGGGTGGGGGTGATGAGAAAAGAGATCGAAGCAGAGAGAACAGCACAAAGAGCAGCAAGTGAGAAAAAGAGGTAGTTACAGTGGAGCTGGAAACCCTTC